ATGAGTACAGCGGTGTCCTCACCCCAAGCTGATTCTTTAATTGGCTGTGGGGTGCTGGCACCGCCATCTTGACTAAGGAAACCGGCAGTGAAGGCTTGCGGCTTCACAGCCGGTTTCTTACTGCACATGCGCGAATCGCGCTGTGCATTGTGAATGGGGCCTGTTAATGTCCCAGACAGATGCAGGGGGAGGGAGGCCGAACTTGTCATAACTAGGTATCCGCCCCCCCCCCAAAAAAAAAGGTGCCAAATGTGGCAGCGGGGGGGCGGTAGATTAGCGGAGCTTCCATTTCTGGGTGAAACTCCACTTTAACTTCTAAATATAAATAGAATAAACCAGAATGCAGATTTCTAGACTGACATGTTGTGGGGCTTGCTGAAGGATAGAATAAGTGAATCAGACTATCACCCTCCCCTCTTTCCCCCCCCCCTCCCCTTTCTCCCCCTCTCCTCCCGATCCCCTCTCTCCTCTCCTCTTTCCTCTACTCTTTTCTCTCCTCTTTCCTCTCCTCTTTCCTCTTTCCTCTCCTCTCCTTTTTCCTCTCCTCTCCTCTTTCCTTTCCTCTCTCTCCTCTTCTCTCCTCTCCTTTTTCCTCTCCTCTCCTCTTTTCCTTTCCTCTCTCTCCTCTCCTCTCCTTTTTCCTCTCCTCTCCCTCTCTTCTTTCCTCTCTTCTCATCTCCTCTGCCTGTCTTCTCCTCTTTCCTCTCCTGTTTCCTGTCCTCTTTCCTCTCCTCTTTCTTTTCCTCTTTCTTCTCTCTCCACTCCTCTCCTCTTTCCTCTCCTCTTTCTTTTCCTCTTTCTTCTCTCTCCACTCCTCTCCTCTTTCTTCTCCTCTTTCCTTTCCTCTTTCCTCTCTCTCCTCTCCTTTCTCCTTACCTCTCTCCTCTTTCTTCTCCTCTTTCCTTTCCTCTCTCCTTTCTCTCCTCTTCTCTCCTTTCCTTTCCTCTCCTCACCTCTCTCCTCTCCTTTTTCCTCTCCTCTTCTCTCCCTCTCCTCTTTCCTCTCCTCTCCCTCTCCTCTTTCCTCTCCTCTCCTCTTTCCTCTCCCCTCACCTCTCCTCTCCCTCTCCTCTTTCCTCTCGTCTCTTTTTTCCTCTCCTCTCTCCTCTCCTCTTTCCTCTCTCTTTCTTTCTTTTCCTCTTTCTTCTCTCTCCACTCCTCTCCTCTTTCCTCTCCTCTTTCCTCTCGTCTCTTTTTTTCCTCTCCTCTCTCCTCTCCTCTTTCCTCTCCTCTTTCCTTTCCTCTCCCCTCTTCTCTCATTTCCTCTTTTCTCCTCTTCCCTCCCCTCCCCTCTCCTCTCCCCTCTCCTCTCCTCCCCTTCTTCCCTCTCCTCTTCCCTTCTTCCCTCTTCTCTCCTCTCTCTCTCCCCCCTCCCGTCCCTTCTCCACTTCTCTCCTCTCCCTTCCCCTCTCCTCTACTTTCCCCTCCCCTCTCCTCTCCCCTTTTCAATTCCAATAGTGTTGATGGTAATGCAATAGACCCGTGTGCCTAAAAATAGAATAGAACAGGATGGAGTAGATGAGAGAAGATTAGAGTAGAGTAGGATAGGATAGAATTGTATTGTCCTTGTATGATAATAGTACAATGACATTTACACAGCACTCCTAGACAGCAACGCCCTATAACCCAGCATCACTCCCACCCCATAACAGCTCCCTGTATTATTGACTCCTCGCCCTCCAGAGGATTCCCCCCCCCCCCCATCCTGACCAGACCATTTTTTTTTGTGATACGGCGCTGCGTTACTGACAATTACACGGTCATGCAACGCTGCACCCAAATGAAATTTCTGTCCTTTTTTTCCCCACAAATGGAGCTTTCTTTCGGTGGTATTTGATCGCCTCTGTGTTTTTTTGTTTTTTTTGCGCTATAACCAAAGAGACCGACTATTTTTGAGAAAAAAACTAAATGTTTTTACTCCTTGCTATTAAACATGTCCAGTAAAAAAAATGTAAAATGTAAAAAATCTAATTCATCATAAATTTAGACCAAAATGTATTCTAATCCATGTCTTTGAAAAAAAAAAAAGTCCCAATAGTTGTATCATCAACACTCTCCCTCCAGAGGATTCCCCCCCCCCCCCGCCCTTTCTGACAGGCCATTTTTGCATTATGTGCGGGGGTCAGTTAGGGGACCCCATGAGATGCCCCTGGTACCTTTTTCATAGGCTTTTTTGAGTTTGGACAAGGACACAGGGGCCCCATGATCCCCTATTGCCTGGGGGCCCCATGAGTTGTCAGTCCGCCCCAGGTGCGGCGTTACTATAACTGACAATTGCACGGTCATGCAACGCTGCACCCAAAAGAAATTTATGTCCTTTTCCCCCACAAATAGAGCTTTCTTTAGGTGGTATTTGATCGCCTGTGCGATTTTTATTTTTTGCACTATAAACAAAAAAAAGTAAACTATTTGAGAAAAAAACAATATTTTTGACTTTTTGCCATGAACCCTTTAGCCCCCCTGGCACCTCCCGGCCCTTTAATAGTTTCAGAAGCTGGGAGGCGGGCAGGGTTTTAGGGTCATGTGACTGTAAACTAGTAATGGCGGCAATTGGTGACATATAGCGGGACTGCAGCGGGCATTCTGACACTGGGGGGGAACTGACTTGGTGTCACTGACACCCTTAGTGACCACCAATACAGTGATCAGTGCTAATAAAAAGGACCGACACTGTACTAAGGGTGCTGGGCAGGAAGGGGTTAATGTTAGGGGCGATCAAAGGGTCAACTGTGCACTGTGCGTATGTTTTACTAGATGACGGGGTCTGTAAGCACTCTGGTTTACATAACTTCATAAGGGGCATACAAAGATGTAAGCACTGCTGGTATACAGAGCCATACAAAGCAGTGTGCTGGAGCTGACAGGGGAGAGATCTGTGTTCTTTACATACAGACCTCTCCTCCCATGGCAGTAATACTCGGCAATCACCCGGTGCCAGCAAGTAATCACCAGCCAGGACCCCGTGATTGACAGCCAAAGCCACGAATAGCGGCGCGGTTCGCGAGCGCCCCATACATGGAAATACAAAATCACTTATATCTATGTGAATTTGCGCACTCCTGCCCCCTTGTAGCTGTATTTCTGCTATAGGGCGGTGGGGAAGCAGTTAATTGGTTTACATGAAATTTATAGCGTCTACAAAGGCGGAATACTGTATATACTTGATTTTTTTTTCTCCTAGTAATGCAATCAGCTACTTATAGTGGGACTGTGGCGGGCATTCTGTTACTGGGTACTGGAACTGGACTAGGTGTCATTGATATCCCCACTGACACCAATACAGTGATCAGTGCTAATAAAAAGCACTGACACTGTACTAATGGCACTGGGCAGGAAGGGGTTAACATCTGGGGTGATCAAAGGGCTAAATGTGTGCTGTTTTACTAGGGGGCGGAGACTGTGTGCTTCACTGTACTCACACTGCTGTGGATGGCTGTGCTGTGCAGTGTGCCCAACAAAACAGTCCTCCTCCCCGTCGGAGATGCTCGGTAATCACTGGGTGCCGGCGAGTAGATGGACACTGACAGCTGGGTGCCTGTGTCCTAAGGACACAACTGATCATGTGATGTGGTAAAAAAGGCCAATCACAGTGGCCTTTTTACCACATGATCAGCCATGTCCAATGACACAGCAGATCACCGGGTAAATGCTGTTGCTGGTTATTGGCTGCACTGACACCAATGGCAGGGCACTATTCCTTCACTGACACCAATGAGGGGCACTATTCCTTCACTGACCTCAATGATGGGGCACTATTCCTCCCACTGATACCAATGATGGGGCACTATTCCTCCCACTGACACCAATGATGGGGCACTATTCCTCCCACTGACACCAATGATGGGGCATTATTCCTTCACTGACCCCAATGATTAGACACTATTCCTTCCACTGACACCAATGACAGGGCACTATTGCTTCAGTGACACCAAATACAAGGCACTATTCCTTCACTGACACCAATGATGGGACACTATTCCTTCACTGACACCGATGATGGGGCACTATTCCTCCCACTGACACCAATATTGGGGCACTATTCCTTCCACTGACCCCAATAATGGGGAACTATTCCTCCCACTGACCCCAATGGTGAGGCATTATTCGTTGAACTGATGTCAAAATTGGGGCACTATTCCTCCCCCTAATACTAAAAATGGAACACCATTTACTCCCACTAATGTCAGAACAAATTTCCATTGACCCCAATGATGAGGCACTATTCCTCCCACTGACCACAATGATGGGGCACTATTCCTCCCACTGACACCAATGATGGGGCTCTATTCCTCCCACTGATACCAATGATGGGGCACTATTCCTCCCACTGACACCAATGATAGGGCACTATTCCTCCCACTGATACTAATGATGGGGCACTATTCCTCCCACTGACACCAATGATGGGGCACTATTCCTCCCACTGATACCAATGATGGGGCACTATTCCTCCCACTGACACCAATGATGGGGCACTATTCCTCCCACTGACACCAATGATGGGGCACTATTTCTCCCACTGACACCAATGATGGGGCACTATTCCTCCCACTGACACCAATGATGGGGCACTATTCCTCCCACTGACACCAATGATGGGACACTATTCCTCCCACTAACACCAATGATGGGACACTATTCCTCCCACTGACACCAATGATGGGCTATTCCTCCCACTGACCCCTATTCGTTGAACTGATGTCAAAGATGTGGCACTAACAGAAAAAAAGCCAATAAATGTTGCGCTCCCAAATCTGTGTTAATTATGCAATATTGTGTACCAACATACCCTCAAATCTAAATATTACCAATTATTGCTTACTTGGTGCATAATTAATGTGAATCAACATAAAATTCAAACAAATACCACACTCCACAGTAGATTAGGATATAGTGAATGCGGGGTCTGGGGAGAGAGCGGATATAGTGAATGCAGGGTCCGGGGAGAGCGGATATAGTGAATGCGGGGTCCGGGGAGAGCGGATATAGTGAATGCAGGGTCTGGGGAGACCGGATATAGTGAATGCAGGGTCTGGGGAGACCGGATATAGTGAATGCGGGGTCCGGGGAGAGCAGATATAGTGAATGTAGGGTCCGGGGAGAGCAGATATAGTGAATGCAGGGTCCGGGGAGAGCAGATATAGTGAATGCAGGGTCCGGGGAGAGCAGATATAGTGAATGCAGGGTCCGGGGAGAGCAGATATAGTGAATGTAGGGTCCGGGGAGAGCAGATATAGTGAATGGAGGGTCCGGGGAGAGCAGATTTAGTGAATGTAGGGTCCGGGGAGAGCAGATATAGTGAATGCAGGGTCCTGGGAGAGTGGATATAGTGAATGTAGGGTCCGGGGAGAGCAGATATAGTGAATGCAGGGTCCTGGGAGAGCGGATATAGTGAATGCAGGGTCCGGGGAGAGCGGATATAGTGAATGCAGGTTCCGGGGAGAGCAGATATAGTGAATGGAGGGTCTGGGGAGAACAGATATAGTGAATGCAGGGTCCGGGGAGACCGGATATAGTGAATGCAGGGTCCGGGGAGACCGGATATAGTGAATGCAGGGTCCGGGGAGACCAGATATAGTGAATGCAGGGTCCGGGGAGACCGGATATAGTGAATGCAGGGTCCGGGGAGTGCAGATATAGTGAATGTAGGGTCCGGGGATAGCGGATATAGTGAATGTAGGGTCCGGGGAGAGCGGATATAGTGCATGCGGGGTCAGGGGAGAGCGGATATAGTGAATGTAGGGTCCGGGGAGAGCGGATATAGTGAATGTAGGGTCCGGGGAAAGTGGATATAGTGAATGCGGGGTCCAGGAGAGCGGATATAGGGGAATGCAGGGTCCGGGGAGAGCGGATATAGTGAATGCGGGGTCTGGGGAGAGCAGATATAGTGAATGCAGGGTCCGGGGAGACCGGATATAGTGAATGCGGGGTCTGGGGAGAGCAGATATAGTGAATGCAGGGTCCAGGGAGAACGGCTATAGTGAATGCAGGGTCCGGGGAGAGCAGATATAGTGAATGCAGGGTCCGAGGAGAGGGTATTTAGTGAATGCAGGGTCCGGGGAGAGCAGATATAGTGAATGCAGGGTCCGGGGAGAGCGGCTATAATGAATGCAGGGTCCGGGGAGAGGGGATTTAGTGAATGCGGGGTCCGGGGAGAGCGGATATAGTGAATGCAGGGTCCGGGGAGACCGGATATAGTGAATGCAGGGTCCGGGGAGAGCAGATATAGTGAATGCAGGGTCCGGGGAGAGGGGATTTAGTGAATGCAGGGTCCGGGAGAGCAGATATAGTGAATGCAGGGTCCGGGGAGAGCAGATATAGTGAATGCAGGGTCCGGGGAGAGGGGATTTAGTGAATGCGGGGTCTGGAGAGAGCAGATATAGTGAATGCAGGGCCCGGGGTTTAGTAACACTTTAATCTCAGTATAAATCCAGCTGTTCTGTGAAGCCCGCAGAGGTTGTTAGAGAACATTAGTGAACAAACAGCATCATGAAGGCCAAGGAACACACCAGACAGGCCAGGGATCAAGTTGTGGAGAAGTTTCAAGCAGAGTTAGGTTATAAAAAAATCTCCAAGCTTTGACCATCACACGGAGCATTGATCAATCCATCATCTGAGAATGGAAAGAGTATGGCACAACTGCCAACCTACTAAGACATGGCCGTCCACCTAAACTGACAGGATGGGCAAGGACAGCATTCATCAGAGAAGCAGCCAAGAGGCCCATGGGAACTCTGGAGGAGCTGCAGAGATCCACAGCTCAGGTGGGAGGATCTGTCCACAGGACAACTATTAGCTTTGCACTCCACAAATCTGGCCTTTATGGAAGAGTGGCAAGAAGAAGCCATTGTTGGAAGAAAGCCATAAGAAGTCCTGTTTGCAGTTTGTGAGAAGCCATGTGGGCGACACAGCAAACGTGGAAGAAGGGGCTCTGGTCAGAGGAGACCAAAATGGAACTTTTTTTTCTAACAGCAAAACGCTATGTGTGGTGGAAAATGAACACTGCCCATCACCCTGAACACGCCATCCCCACCATGGAACATGGTGGTGGCAGCATCATGTGGTGGGGTTGCTTTTCTTCAGCAGGGACAGGGAAGCTGGTCAGAGTTGATGGGAAGATGGAAGGAGCCAAATACAGGGCAATCTTAGAAGAAAACCTGTTAGAGTCTGCAAAAGACTTGAGACCGGGGCGGAGGTTCCCCTTCCAGCAGGACAACGACCCGAAACATCCAGCCAGAGCTACAATGGAATGGTTCAGATCAAAGCGTCTTCATGTGTTAGAATGGCCCAGTCACAGTCCAGACCGAAATCCAAAGGAGAATCTGTGGAAAGGCTTGAAAATTTCTGTTCCCAGATGCTCTCCATCCAATCTGACAGAGCTTGAGTGATTCTGCAAAGAAGAATGGGCAGAAATGTCCCTCTCTAGATGTGCAAAGCTGGGAGAGTCATCCCCAAAAAGGCTTGCAGCTGAAATTGCAGAGAAAGGGGGTCCTACAAAGACTCCAGGGGGCTGATTACAAATGTCGCCACACTTTTCACAGATTTATTTGTAAAAAACTTTGAAAAGCATTTCTCATTTTCCTTCCACTTCACAATTATGTGCCACTTTGTGTCGGTCTATCACATAAAATCCCAATAACTACATTGACGGTTTTGGTTGTCACATAACAAAATGTGGAAAATTTCAAAGGGTATGAATACTTTTTCAAGGCATTGTAATATTATGAATATTTTAGTAGATAAAGTAAAGTGCTTTTTAATGTTAATGTAAAAAGAAATATAGAAAAAAAAACAAAACAAATCATAAAGCTAATTGGAAAGAATCAACAAAATTGGTTTAAAAAAGCAGGGAAAGAAAAGCATTAATTATTTCTAATTAGTAGTAACAAGGGGTTAGTCATGGTTAAATAACGTTTTATTCTAAAAAAAAAAAAAATCAAAAAGACAGAAAAACTAAAGAAAAAAAACCAAAAAAAAAACCCAAAATAATAATAAAAAAAACAAAAAAACTAATTTTAGGTTTGCATTAGCTACTTAAATGTAGTTAGATTTTATAAAACTGCTCCTGACAGATGAAGTTACCTACAATTTAGTTTTTTATTCCCTTTTTATCAAAATCTAGAATATTCTACATTCAGTGCATTAAGAGCAGCTCTGTTACTATGACTGGGACTTCTCATGGTCGCCCATCAAGCTGACAGAGTCTAGGTAGATGTAAGTTCAGCCAGAAATGACTATAGGATATATTGAATATACACTAATGTTTTTAACTACGTTTTTTTTTTTTTTTACAAACTTTTTTTTTTACAGTGTTTTTAATTAAAAAAATAATTTAAAGAAATCTAATTTAAAAAAATCAAATAAAAAAAATATAAAAGACCAAACTAATGCAGGCCATAGACTTGGAGAAAACCGGCCGTTTTTTTTTTTTTTAGAAAATCGTAAAATCGGTCGTTCAGTCGCCCGACGTTAGTACCGATTTTAAAAAAAAAAGTGTCCGGGGAGAGCGGATATAGTGAATGCAGGGTCCGGGGAGAGCGGATATAGTGAATGCAGGGTCCGGGGAGAGCGGATATAGTGAATGCAGGGTCCGGGGAGAGCGGATATAGTGAATGCAGGGTCTGGGGAGACCGGATATAGTGAATGCGGGGTCTGTGGAGAGCGGATATAGTGAATGCAGGGTCTGGGGAGACCGGATATAGTGAATGCAGGGTCTGGGGAGAGCGGATATAGTGAATGCGGGGTCTGTGGAGAGCGGATATAGTGAATGCGGGGTCCGGGGAGAGCGGATATAGTGAATGCGGGGTCCGGGGAGAGCGGATATAGTGAATGCGGGGTCCGGGGAGACCGGATATAGTGAATGCGGGGTCCGGGGAGAGCGGATATAGTGAATGCAGGGTCCGGGGAGAGCGGATATAGTGAATGCAGGGTCCGGGGAGAGCGGATATAGTGAATGCAGGGTCCGGGGAGAGCGGATATAGTGAATGCAGGGTCCGGGAGACCAGATATAGTGAATGCAGGGTCCGGGGAGACCAGATATTGTGAATGCAGGGTCCGGGGAGAACGGATATAGTGAATGCAGGGTCCGGGGAGAGCGGATATAGTGAATGCAGGGTCTGGGGAGAGCGGATATAGTGAATGCAGGGTCTGGGGAGACCTGATATAGCGAATGCAGGGTCCGGGGAGAGAAGATATAGTGAATGCAGGGTCCGGGGAGAGCGGATATAGTGAATGCAGGGTACGGGGAGAGCGGAGCGGATATAGTGAATGCAGGGTCCGGGGGGACCAGATATAGTGAATGCAGGGTCCGGGGAGAGCGGATATAGTGAATGCAGGGTCCGGGGAGAGCGGATATAGTGAATGCAGGGTCCGGGGAGAACGGATATAGTGAATGCAGGGTCTGGGGAGACCTGATATAGCGAATGCAGGTTCCGGGGAGAGAAGATATAGTGAATGCAGGGTCCGGGGGAGAGCAGATATAGTGAATGCAGGGTACGGGGAGAGCGGATATAGTGAATGCAGGGTCCGGGGGAGACCAGATATAGTAAATGCAGGGTACGGGGAGAGCGGAATATAGTGAATGCAGGGGGTTCCGGGGGAAAGAAGATATAGTGAATGCAGGGTCCGGGGAGAGCGGATATAGTGAATGCAGGGTCTGGGGGAGACCTGATATAGCGAATGCAGGGTCCGGGGAGACCGGAATATAGTGAATGCAGGGTCCGGGGAGAGAGCAGATATAGTGAATGCAGGGTCTGGGGAGACCTGATATTAGCGAATGCAGGTTCCGGGGAGAGAAGGATATTAGTTGCAGGGTCCGGGGTAAGAGCAGATATAGTGAATGCAGGGTCCGGGGGTGAGAGAGCGGATATAGTGAATGCAGGGTCTGGGGAGACCATATATAGTGAATGCAGGGTCTGGGGAGACCATATATAGTGAATGCAGGGTCCGGGGAGAGCGTATATAGTGAATGCGGGTCCGGGGGAGCGGATATAGTGAATGCAGGGTCCGGGGAGAGTGGATATAGTGAATACGGGGTCCGGGGGAGACCGGTGATATAGTGAATAACGGGGTCCGAGGGGAATGAGCGGATATAGTGAATGCAGGGTCCGGGGAGAGTGGATTATGTGAATACGGGGTGTTGCCGGGAGAGCGGATATAGTGAATACGGGGTCCAGGAGAGCGGATATTAGTGAATGCAGGGTTCGGGAGAGTGGATTTAGTGAATGCAGGGTACGGGGAGAGTGGACATAGTGAATGCATGTCCGGGGTGAGCGGATATAGTGAATGCAGGGTCCGGGGAGACCAGATATAGTGAATGCAGGGTCCGGGGAGAGCGGATATAGTGAATGCAGGGTCCGGGGAGAGTGGATATAGTGAATGACAGGTACGGGAGAGTGATTGGACATAGTGAATGCAGGGTCCGGGAGAGCGGATATAGTGAATGCAGGGTCCGGGGAAGACCAGATATAGTGAATGCAGGGTCCGGGGAGAGCGGATTACTATAAGTGAATGCAGGGTCCGGGGAGAGCGGATATAGTGAATGCAGGGTCCGGGGAGAGTGGATATAGTGAATACGGGGTCCGGGGAGAGCGGATATAGTGAATACAGGGAAGGGTCCAGGGAGAGCGGATATAGTGAATTGCAGGGTTCGGGGAGAGAGCCGATTATAGTGAAATGCGGGGTCCGGGGAGAGCGGATATAGTGAATGCGGGGTCCGGGGAGAGCGGATATAGTTGAATTCAGGGTCCGGGGAGAGCGGATATAGTGAATGCGGGGTCCGGGAAGAGCGGATATAGTGAATGCGGGGTCCAGGGGAGACCAGTATAGTAAATGCGGGGTCCGGGGAGAGCGGCATATAGTGAAACTGCAGGGTTTGGGGAGAGCGGATATAGTGAATGCAGGGTACGGGGAGAGTGGATATAGTGAATGCAGGGTACGGGAGAGTGGACATAGTGAATGCAGGGTCCGGGGAGAGCGATATAGTGAATGCAGGGTCCGGGGAGACCAGATATAGTGAATGCAGGGTCCGGGGAGAGCGGATATAGTGAATGCAGGGTCCGGGGGAGAGCGGATATAGTGAATGCAGGGTCCGGGGAGAGCGGATATAGTGAATGCAGGGTCCGGGGAGACAGATATAGTGAAATGCAGGGTCCGGGGAGAGCGGATATAGTGAATGCAGGGTCCGGGGAGAGCGGATAGTAGTGAAATGAAGGGTCCAGGGGAAGAGCGGAAATAGTGAATGCAGGATCAAATACAGGGCAATCTTAAAAGAAAACCTGTTACAGTCAGCAAAAAAATTCAGACCGGGTGGAGGTTCCCCTTCCAGCAGGACAACGACCCGAAACATCCAGCCAGAGCTACAATGGAATGGTTCATAATCAAAGCAGGGGTGGACTGAGCATTTGGAAACTCGGGCACTGCCGAGGGCCCGGGGTCAGTTAGGGGGCCCCATGAGATGCCCCGTACCTTTTTCATAGGCTTTTTTGAGTTTGGGCAAGGACACAGGGGCCCCATGATCCCCTAGTGCCCGGGGCCCATGAGTTGTCAGTCCGCCCGGGATCAAAGCATCTTCATGTGTTAGAATGGCCCAATCACAGTCCAAATCTAAATCCAATGGAGAATCTGTGGCCAGACCTGTAAAATTGCTGTTCACAGACACCCTCCATCCAATCTGACAGAGCTTGAGCTATTATGCAAAGAAGAATGGGCAGAAATGTCCCTCTCTAGATGTGCAAAGAGACATCCCCAAAAAGACTTGTAGCTGAAAATTGCAGAGAAAGGGGGTCCTACAAAGATTCTGGGGGCTGAATACAAATGCCGCCACATTTTTCACAGATTTATTGGTCACAAATGCTGAAAAACCATTTCCCATTTTCCTGTCCACTTCACAATTATGGGCCACTTTGTGTCGGTCTATCACATCCAATCCCAATAAATACATTGACGGTTTTGGTTTCGTCACATAACAAAATGTGTAAAAAATTTCAAAGGTATGAAAACTTTTTCAAGGCATTGTAATATTATGAATATTTTTAGTAGATAAAGTAAAGTGCTTTTTAATGTAAAAAGAAATATAGAAAAAAAACAAAACAAATTCATAAAGCTAATTGGAAAGAATCAACAAAATTGGTTTAAAAAAGCAGGGAAAGAAAAGCATTAATTATTTCTAATTATTAATAACAAGTGGTTAGTCCTGGTTAAACGTTTTATATTATAAAAAATTAAAAAAAAAAAGTCAAAAAGACAAAAAACCCGAAAAAAAGTAAAAATAAGAAAAAAATGGTGGGGGGGGGGGGGGGGGGGCGGGGGGGGGAAAAATGGGGGTTTAAAAACCCCCCAAAATAATAATAATTAAAAAAAAAACAAAATTTTAGGTTTGCTTTAGCTACTTAAATGTAGTTAGATTTTATAAAACTGCTCCTGACAGATGAAGTTACCTACAATTTAGTTTTTTATTCCCTTTTTATCAAAATCTAGAATATTCTACATTCAGTGCATTAAGAGCAGCTCTGTTACTATGACTGGGACTTCTCATGGTCGCCCATCAAGCTGACAGAGTCTAGGTAGATGTAAGTTCAGCCAGAAATGACTATAGGATATATTGAATATGCACTAATTTTTTTTAAATACGTTTTTTTTTTTTTACAAACTTTTTTTTTACTGTGTTTTTAATAAAATCAAAAATAAATAAAATCAAATAAAAAGATATTATAAAGACCAAACTAATGCAGGACATAGACTTGGAGAAAACCGGACTTTTTTTTTTAGTAAAAAAATTGTAAATCGGTCGTTCAGTCGGCCGACGTTAGTACCGATTTAAAAAAAAGTCCGGCTGGTTTTTGTCCCGTCTATGGCCATCAATAAATATAATAGCGGTGTCCCTGCATAGAGCCCCGTTATTACTATTTGGCAGAAGAAATAGATTATACATAAGAAGAAGAAGAAAAAGAAACAACATTGTATCTATTGGTACTGGAATAGAAACATCTGTATGCGAAATGGATACAAATAGATACAATGTTGCAACTTCTTCTTCTTCTTCTTCTCCTTCAAAATCTATTTCTTCCTTATCTTCATATTCAATTTATTTGAAAAACGGCAAAAAGAACGGCCGATTTGACCATAATTACCGCGAAAATCGGTCGGTTTTTCGACGACCATATCGTCCGACGATTTTCCAGCAGGGCCAATTTTCTAAATGTCTTAAAATTACGAAAAACGCCCGACAGTTTTCCCCACTAACAATCCGAATATTGGCCAATTTTTTTATCGGCCGATATTTTTTTGGCAACTTTATCGGAAGTCCTATGGCCTGCTTTAGAACAACGTGTCTTTTTTTTTTTTTTGCAATATTCCACAGATGGCCGTTTTCTTCAAACCGAAACGTATGCACACAATGAAGGGAGACACAGCTCTAGTCCCTGCATACAAGGGTGGAAGGGTGAATCCACCTTGAAACAGAAATCCTGGAACAGCAGTTTATGGCACTTGATTAAATTGGAACATAGGCAAGGATTAAAAGATAAGTAAAGCAAACTGCTGAAATTAATTGAAAATCATGCATATACTTTATGTGGCACAAGTTTTTTTATATATTTTTATATTTTTTTTATATACTTTATGTTGGATTTATTTTTTTAAATCTTTTTTTCTCTATTGTTTTAGGGCCAGTTTGAGAAGCTCTCCTGTGGTGGAATGGTGACTGTACACAACTGGGTTCACCTAACTCTTGTTAGCAATACGACTACAGAAAACGTATGCACTTGTTCAGAGGTGCCACCCTTTTTTTATTTTGGAACACGCACAAAACACGCACCAATAAAATAATATGAAACAAGACGTAACTTACATTTTTGGAGGAGAAGAATCATCGGGGGATATATTAGAAGGTATTTCATTTTTCATCATCTAACTTGTTTGGAGAGAATTTTTGAGGGCGAGACAACTCTTCCGAACTAAACGCAAATGTGGGAAAAGAAGAAGTTACATCTGCTTCCTTTCAGATCTAGTAGTAGGTGGTCGTTTAGCCGGACTTGTTCTGTAATGTTGACGACGTTACGTAGCTTCTCAAACCACTGCTTTACTTCTAATATGTCTCCAACATTTACTGTATGTGGGAGAAAATATGGTGTGTTAAAGGCCCCCACCCCATTCAGGGATAGCTGTTCCAGTTCAACATAGATGGTCTCTCCACACCTCTTGAGAACTAGTTGACCAAAATGTGCACTTTTGCTTACAGTAGGGGGGGGCTTTATGGTTGGCTTGTTTTGGCGCCAAGAGCACAAGTCCCTGCACCCACCCAACCCTCCTACCAATCTTGCCAGAACACTGTTCCTCCTGGTGAGGCTGAACCGTTCACCATCTTGTGTCCTGCTCCTTGCCATTCGGCTCCACAGGATGTTCCCAGCCATAGACCTTAGAGGGGGCTTTGTGGTTGGCTTGTTTTGATGCCAAGAGCACAAGTCCCTGCACCCTCCCAACCCCCCTAACAATCTTGCCAGAACACTGTCCCTCCTGTTGAGGCTGAAACCGTCCACCATCTTGTGTCCTGCTCTTTTGCCATTGGCCTCTACAGGATGTTCCCAGCCATAGACCTTTGTATCCCCAAGGAAGGAATGTCCACCAAGAAATATTGTTGCTGCACCTTATTGGTGGTAATCAGAAACGGACATTACAATGACATCACAAGGACATACATTACGGAGTCACTTGACATGACACAGTCACATTTAGTGGATGGCCCGCAGTAAGTCCTCAAGTGAAAGCACATGTAGCACCTCAGTAGCCATCGTCATTTTACAGTCTCTCCTCTGCCCGAGGGTCATTGGTACTCACAAGACTCTCTGAAGTCACCTACATGTTTCCCTGTTGGTGATTCCCTCCAGGAAAGTAGCTTCACGCAAGGATCTATGACCCTGGCCTAAACAAGGCCTTTTGCAATATGCTTCTAGCCCCTGCTTCCAAAGAAGGGAAAAACCTGCTAGGATCCTCCTGCGTACAGGTCTCGCAATTCACCCACTCCAGTCCTTCTGCTCTATTCAGGGGCCTACGTGTTGCAGGTTAATAGGGTGGCCACACTCATCATCAGGCTAATTTAATTCAGTTCATTGGCACCAAGTGATGTTCAATTTACCACCGTAACCGAGCCCCAGAACCTGGTGTAAAAAATGATGTGTACTCAGGGTTTTTAAAGTGTCTCTTGAGGTGGCACAAACCTAGGTGGTTTGCACCTCGAAGAGAGTGGGTGCTCATACCTACCTGACTTGTATATGGGTGCTGGTCTCACCCTGACACCATTGCAGGAGGGCTCTACCTAAAAAAAGGCCTAGAACTGCTGCACCGTGTGCTGTAAACAAG